AGAAAATTCCAACAAAACGTTACACTTTGAATTCCAATGTTAATCTTATGGAGAAAATGAAAACCGTCGTAGTTTGCTTGTTTATGTGTACAGCATATGTTAATCAAATCTGTCAAATTTACTATAAATACTATAAATATTTAGTAAAAAACGTGTTACCTTCCCCATATCAACATTCCGAGTACTCCGAGGAATGAAATAAATTGTTAATGGAAATGTTTTAGTTAAAAATCAGACAAATTGAAATTCGCTTAGTCTTTAAATCTTCTGGGGCAAGGGCATTTAAAAATGCCCCCGCTGCAGCAAACCTGCAGACTAAGCGAATTTCAACTTGTCTGATTACATTTTTACTAAAATATTTTCATAAATAAGACATATTTATTCCCTATTTAAATAACATTAGATTTAACGAGTGCTTAGGTTTGCTACTACGGGAAAGGTAAAAAGTGTTTTTAGACCATACATCAATAGTATAGGATGAAATAAATAAATTTGCCAAATGTTGTCAATATATATCCATAAACGAGTAAACTACAACAATTTTCTGTTTCTCCATTAGAATAACATGGGAATTTTAAATTACATTAATTTTTAATTTTCTCCGTAACCGTTAGGCATACAACACCGCTGCAATATACTAAATTATTTATTTTTTAAGCTCTACAAAACGGTTTTGAAATAAATTGCAAATTATTTTGTTTATAGGGTCAAAAATGGGAAAATCCCATTTTTACCCCATAAAATCCCGATCTCATGGTCCGATAATGCTGGATCGCGAACTCGTTCGAATAAACGTAGGTTTACACGTTTGTACCAAATTTCATCAAAATCGGATTATTTTTGCTCGAGTTATCTCGCTAACGGACACACGTTTGTAGACTTTGTTTATGAATTTTAACGGATGGTGTTTTTGGCCTCTAGGGACCTCAAAATGAAAAATTAAATTGGTCCTGGGTCCACGTCTTACCATGAGTACTACGATAATAGCTTATTCCCTAAATGGGAAATTCGCTAAAAGATAAAAATAAAATCTCATTAGAATATTACAACTTGACAAAACACTCAATATGCGAGTAATTGTAAGTTAAAAAAGAGAGCATACAGTTAATTCTACCACTAGCTCCATATCTGCTTAAAATGTTGTGATTTTACATAGTTCTAATACGTGTTAGTAGGCTACTCCTTAAGCCTAACCAGGTTGTACATTGTTCTGGTGAATATAAAAGTGCGAGTGTTTAGTAAATAGATTAACCAATGTGCATGTTTGTTCTCTTGTTAGTTTAGTGTTAAAAATTAAAGAACTGAGCTAACCATAGAGGTATATATTATACCTTGTAGGTGAATATTATATCGGTGAATATTATTACGACATTGGTGACCATTATTCGTTTCATGTTGGAAATAGGCCAAGTTCATGCAACACAAAACAGACAATTAATGAAATGAAATGAAAAATTTCTTTATTTAAGAGGCGAAGTTAGGACTAGCGAGTCCTCTCTGCCACTTAACCTCTAATAATCGTATAGTCCTTTAATCTTTAATAGTATGCATTTCTTAGGAGATTTCTTTTTGCGATATTTTTTTTAATAAAAATATAATCAGATTAAAGTTTCGTTGGAATAATAAAGACTTTAAATTATCATAGGCATTGAATATTTCGGTTTACTGCTCAAAATTGTATTATCTTTCTTGCTTCATAAGAAATTGACTGATTTGCATTAATATTAAATTTTGCTAGCGTAAAACTTAAATTTCATTAGATGGATATTTTTGCAATCGATAATTTTAATTTCAATCAATGTAACGAATATTTTCAATAGTTGATATTGTTTATTTCCATTTACAGAAATATTCGTTTACATATATATGAAAGATAATCACGAACAGGCTTCAGATAACTAAGTCAATCCGTAATACTGTACTAATAGCAAAACTATCATTACATGTACGTAGCAATATTAATACGTTTGGCAGCTTATATGAGACCACGTATTAACTTAGACCATAAATTACGCTCGGAATCAGGGTTTAAACTAAATGTCACACAACAGTAAATCCTCCGTGGTCCAATCCTTGCACTAAATATATTACAGTACAACTAATGACAACATGTATTACAACGGAATGAAATAGTTACAACTAGTGCAATCAAAAACCATCGATCGAATAAGTTATGGAGACAAAAGTACGTATGTTATTACTGTATTAGAGATGATTTTCCGTTACAAATTATAAGTGGATTTTACGGAATTAATTTGATTTCGATTTCGGCTAGTCATTAGTGATAAATTACTTCAATATTAGGTCCAACAGTATGTTGAAAATTGTAATTTTTCATCGATGGTTAATAAAGATTAAATGCTGAAGCTTGTGTGTGAATTAGTTGTAAAGGCACATAAATAATGCAGTTGTATTGGTTGCAAAATATGACTTCGTGACCAATGTAAATTTTTGTTTTCGAGACCGAAGAATTAAATATACTGTTAGGTTAGCTATGAGTGTATGTGTGATAAAGCATGATAGATTTTATCTAAGTTTTATGCCATTTAAACATTTTCAAACCAATATCTATTTGAATGAATTTACAAACCATCCCAAGGAAATTAATTTATTTTTATCATGAGATATTAAAATTTGGTCAACATAAAACAACTTTGTTCTTCATAGCAAATTAAATTACTAATGTTACCAATAGTCTTTACTGGGCGTGAATCTTTAGGTAAACTACCTTCAATTGTTAACAAGGTTTGCATACAAAATCATTGAAGCAACTAGGTATTCATTTAGTTGGCAAGTTGGCCGATTTAGAGATATTTTTATTTTTATTTTGTTTCAATAAACAAAATTGCATGCTTCAATAATTGCTGATGCTGTCAATAATTATTTTCAAATTATGGCTTTTAAACTATGACCAAGCAGGTTTTACAAACAAAAAAAAGGGGGAATACGCTATTTTATCTTATAAAATATTACATATTTAAAACATAAGTAGTTTTTTATCGTTTTGTTTAAAAAACAATTGGCCTAACGGCAATAATTGTAAATATGATTGTATAGTACAGTAGTAATAAATAAATGTATCATCGAGAATAGTTATCCTTGCTAGTTACCTTACCTCATGGTCCATTTTGTCTGTGCTCAAAAGATGTTTTGTTTTTATATAAAAAATAAAAGCCATATTTTAAGCTTTTATTCAGTTTTTTTTAACTGGAAGTATCAAAATGTATATTTGAAAATTTGGCATAAATTAGCAGTCAAAGTTATAAGAGAATTGTTTTACAGCCCTTTAAATATTGAGCACCAATATGAAACGGCAATCTTCATAAGGGTTCACGGTAAAATATTTGATATGCTCCCACTACACCAATTAACGCACTGAAATTATATAGGCTACAACTCGAAAACTATACAATGTATTTACCGTAAATACGCTGTTATCTTATTTATGTAATCTAATCTCTCAACTACAAAAGAAATTCAACTTTCAACACAATTCAGATTTGATATACCTACTAAAGCGAATGTAGAAAACTTAACAACCGTACTTCTGTATTCAAATGACCTAAGTGTTTCCAATCGGAATAGTTTAAGCTTAAATAATATTTTATGAGCCAACTCCTTTAAAGAAAATGGTGAATATGGTAGCTATAGAACATGTAAATATAAAGCTTTATGTGACATTGAAGGCGAGGGTCTAGAGTACATTCACTTCAACTTAAGTGAACCTCATAACCTCAAGTCCTCATCACGGGGACGTGTAAAAACCTTAAAGTTTGTCCCCATTGACGTTCACCATAAACCCCATAGAAAATTGATCATGTTTGAGCAGAAATGTCTGTATTTTTGCTCTTGAAACATCTATCAGTTGAATAATATTACAGCACCTTTTTTAAAACAATATTTTGGCTCATAACTTTTTAGGAAAATGCAAGTGATTCATAACCAAGCTTTTGTTTTACTTCTTTTTTCACTATATCTATATGGGTAAATTACATTACAAAGGATTGGGTTAGGGTGTGTGTGTTAGTCCCAAGTCTTGATTAGGTAGGAAAGGAATGCATTAATGATTAATATTTTACTTTTTATTTTTCTGTGGGTGCTTGCTGAATCCATAAATGAATTCAAGTTATTATGTCGAAGCGATCAACCAACGTCAAAAAACAAATGTGACTAGGATAATTTGGTAGTCCTACTTATTATTACATTTTCGTATACTTTTTTAAATTATAACTTATCTACTGTTATGAGCTAGCTGCGTCTGGTAAGTGAGGCGAATAAAGTTTTTTTTTTTTTTTTTTTTTTTTTTTTTTTTTTTTTTTTACTGTGTAATCTCGTAAAAAATGTCAATTGTGTTTCTTGTTAAAATCAGGAATGCAAATTTGTTTACAGGAAAATGTTTTTCCTACATTTAGCATAAGCAGTTTATTGTATAGTATGTTATTGCGGCCATTTAGTAGTGTACAACCTTAACTTCTCGCTTGATTTGTTAGTGTTAGCTAGATAGTACAATTATTCTATATTGTTTAACTCAAATTCCTTAAGCATGTTTTTATTACAACAAAATTAAACAAAACAGGCTTCACAACACAATGTAAGCAATACATGCATCTCCTCCATTTTAAATAATTGTTTTCACATAAGGTTACAATGTTGGCTTAATGCAGTGTTTATGGCTTGGACACTATATTGTAGTTTGCCCCGAAGATGCGTTAATGCAACTCATCCAAAACGTCGGCCACTGTATTTGTCAACCCAACTTCGCCGACACAGTCTCTCAAAATATTCAACAAATACTCGTACACTGAAAAAAACCCTATTGTTACATATAACTAGAAAACGAGTGAGTTTAGGACATGTGCCTTTAGGTCATTTTTTCAGTTTTGACTCCAGGAACCACTTCCTGAAGTTTGTCAGGGTTCCCGTGAAACACTCTGAAGATTAAAGGTAGCCTACATAGTAGACATATAGGGAATGTAGAAAAGTAAGAAGTATTACTGTACCTTTCCAAGGTCACGATGCGACGCACGGACTGGTCAGCCCCGATGCGCTTCCATCCCCTGAAACAAATATAATGCTTAACAAAAATATATTGTGTCTCTGATAGGCCAAGTGACTTTAGACCAAGTGTAAGTGCCATTTAGTTATAAACCTGAAAATAATTAGTTTATAAATGTAACTGGCAAGTCACTGGGTACTAGGGTGTACTTCGATAGGGATATGTTTACTACTGTTTTGTAGGTGTTACACGTCAGGTCTTAGATCACAGAAAACATACTACTATAACCTTATTACAGGTTATAGTAGTATATTTTCTGTGCTCAGATTTATAAATGGGTGTAAGGAGAGGTGCAAATACGTTGAATGATGTAAGGCTTTACAGGGTCAATGGTTTCCCAACCAAACTTATAACGAGCAGAGGCAAGTCCTCGTTCGTTGTAAATCCAATGTAATTATATTTCAAGTTAGACATCCTAGCACCATTAGCGCAATTTCAAGTTTTGTATAGAGATGTTAATGTCAAATAGCCTAGGGCATTAAATTTGGGAGAAAATAGTAATGTAATTATAGCATATTTGCAACACCATGATATTTGACGAAACTCTATACACTGGAATAATGCTTTATTTTTAACCAGAAAACAAAGTTTAGTAAATAAGTGTTGAGAAGAACAACACAACAGTTAATTATTCATTGTCCTGTCTAATTCAAAACGTTTAAATGCTCCTCTGGATTACAACAAAGCGAAAATAAACATTTAGAAAACCAAGACAATATGATGATACATAATACACTTTAATTACTACTATGTATCTACAGAAGGCACTATGCGAAAGTTGTTTAATAATACAAAATACCTAGTACAGTACAAGTTACTGGTAAAAAGTTACATAAACGGCCTGTTAAGCAGAAGCCCTTCATATATAATATAAAAAGGGGAGCTTTTTCATATCTAATTTTCTTAGTTAATTTATGTAAAGACAAATGTACTCTCAGTCTGATACATCACAAATATATGTAATATTTACGACTTTTAAACACTCAAACCTGAATAACAATAAAATTAATACGTTATTCAAATGTCCGTGAAAGTGTGAAACAGATTTATCGGTCGGCTTGAGCGAAGCCTGACATCTTAAATCCAATAGTGCCAACCTTGTAAACAGCGAGATAAGTGGACAGGTTGGCACCACTGAGGCTTCTATTCCCCACAAAGAGCTTGAGTGAATTCTCAGAACGGCTGAGAAATATGTGGGTTATTTTATTTCAAATATAATAACTCAGCTGATACAATAATGATGTTTATTGTTATCATATGTTTATTGTTATCATATGTTTATTGTTATCATATATTTATTGTTGTTGTTTGTTTTATCATAAAGGTAAAAGGTGTTTAAAAGTCAGCGTCAAAGATTTTGAGGCATTATTATGCACACAAATAGATATAAAAATACACAGCTCGGGTAGTTATAATTGACTCCTCTTTATGGAAGGAGCCAATTTTAGATTTTTAAAAATTCCTTTAAAAATGTCACTTGCAATGACCCCCTTAAACTCCTACCATTATTTGATTTTTCTTCCTGCGTTACTTAATTATTCGGTGAAACGTGTGCTTTTCTCGCTACAGTCACCTTCAAGCGCGTCGTACTCTTGTGTTTTTTTACTAGCTATTATTTAGTACACAAAATCCATTTTAATAGTTGTCACTCGTTCACGAAGAATATTTAGGTCATGGACATGTTCTTTGGTTACATTATTAGTGTAATTTAGCTTTGATAGAAAATTGGACTCATATTGTTAGGGGATTTCAATTGAGTCCACATCAAATTTTGATCGGGAGCAACATTCTACTTCACTGGAAAAGTTAGTTGCAATTTCAATTACATAATCGTTTATGTAAAAATACTGTAAATAACATCAAGTACCTAGTTAGGCTACATGAGTTTTAGTCAAATATTAAAATTAAAAATTCCTAATAAATATCATGAACTATGATTAAGGTATCAACAGAAAATTCTCAAAAAATGCATAAAAAAATTAACGATAGTAAACATTTAACATCTAATTGATAGACATTTGAATCATTTTTTAAAATGCACGATAAAAATGATAAAAATTATAAAACATTTATTTTAAATTTAAATAAAAATACAGAATAAATAAGATGAGTATTAAGTGAATGAAATAATACATAGACACGTTTTGATTAAAAACGTGTATTACATTTTTATAAAAGTATATAACAAAATAATTGCCCCTACACTCTGCAGTGACAAAGCAGATATGCCTGTAAGTTGCAGGTGTATAAATGAAGGCGCTACAAAACTACGCATAGGCTGATGCACTTGCACTTGCATTTGCTCAGTTATGTTACAATACAACTGAGCAGGAGAAATAAACACAGACTATACGGACAAGCCAGGCTTCTAAAAGCTTGTAAACTTGTAAACAGCTCTAGGCTTCTTCAGTATACGTAGAGTTTATTTTTAATGCTATGCTAAGCTTTCAATACGTAAAACAATTAAACATTTAAACATAAAAAAATGTTTAATTGTTTTATGTATTTATTCGTGTCCGTACTGTGTTTATCTTCTAACGATGTTAACAACTGATCAACTCTACACTATGTACCTGAAGCTGACGATGGTGTTTTAACACCGAAACATGTCCTGAATTGACATATTTTATTGAGCTGTGACGGGAATTACGTAAGTAATTTAGTCTTACATTATGTCCAACAGCTCAGGGGCTACACACATGGATTTAAAATCACGGATTCAAATTGTACGGGGTGTATAACAACTCAAGGGCCATATAATAGTATTATTTATATCCGACTAAGTATATTTTATTACATTACTTTGCATGTTTTTACCTTTCCGTTTATTCCTGGTCTGAATTGTGATTTATTTAGGTATTGGTTGTTAGCCTTACTGACACCATTGCTTTCCTCCAAACTGCTGGAAACATCTTAGTTTTGGGATAAAAGTAATACGTGAAAGCACATGAAAGTCTCTGTTCTAAAAATCCCTATTTCTATCAAAACTTAAATGTTAATATTTTTAACATGAACCTATTGGTTGAACTGCTAGTTAGGAATTGGCAACGAAAAACAACACAAAATAATCATACCTTGGACTTGGTATTTGTTTTGTGTTGAAAATTTTGAGTGCACTTATGCCGACTAAACACTTCTATTACTGTAATATAAAAAATCCTAATTATCTTTTGTGAATGGAGTAAAAACGAACAATTAAATTCTGCCGTTTGAAATTAACTACTTAAACAACCACATATGTTAAACAATTGTTTATCCAAAACTATTAATAGGCTCTTGGATCTATGCGCTTTGGAAAAATATTTATCTTAATACAGAGAGAATTTCCATAAGTACTGTACGATTAGGTGGCTATAGACTATTCAAAAAGCAGAGCAATGCCCCACCCCTAATATTTAGAGAAATATGTTTCACCTGATGTTGGGCAGAATATTTTTTTCCAAAAATAAGACAGCGTAAAACCAACAATCACATAAGACCGAAGAAGTATTAATGTTTGTGTATAAATGAAACTGTGTGTATATAGGTTTAAGTTGATAAGCATATTCGGTGTTCTGGAGAGCAGAATGGCTGTTTTCTGCGTTCAGCGAATCCATGTCGTCACAGGAAGCGCAACGGCGCCGTCTGCGTCTGGCAGATGATAACGCACTGTGCGGTGCACTGTGCTTTGGTGTGGTTGTTACCGAGTTTTCCAGGTAGCCGGTCCCGTCTTCTCATCACATCACACTGTCGCTGACGAAAGAGTTTTCTGTTCATTTAATTTATTAGTGTGATTAGTTAGGGTTTGTGGTTGTTTGGTGCTATGCACGAAATGGGATTTGCAAATTGCATGAAGGCCTTTCCTGGAAATGGCACCAAAATATTGTGCTGTTATTTTTACAAAATATTCTAAAATTTAAGATGGTAAATTAATTACTTGCATACTTTCTTATGTACTTGGAACGACTAGGTATTTTCTGGGTTCATTGTAAATAGTATGAATATTTACAATCCTGCCAATTTGTAAGAAGAGAGAGAAATAATTTTTTGATTAGGCATGAAAGAAAATAAAATGGTCATTACTTGAGTTTCTAATCCCTAAAATATAAACATTTTCCCACAATTGCCCCTCTCACTTGACCTTTTGTTGAATAATGAAACAGCTGATTGTAAATTAAGTTTGTAAACCTACACAGATAATTTCACTCCAATCTTCACTCACCTTGCTATCATTAAAAGACACCCAATGTGCCGTTGTCATAGAATTAAACTGATGATGAATGATCCAAACATTCCTGGTCCCCCCTGTCTAAAGTTTTAAGACATACAATTTTCTCTACGATTTTAACTCATTATATTTAGCTCAAAATTTAACAGCGGCTTTATAGTTTTTTATTTGAAATGTATTGGCTTCACACTTTATCTGCAACGTATTTCATAAGATCTAAAAAAAATATTTATTTCATGAGGGCCCTGGTAACCGGTAACCTAGGACATAGTCAGCTCTCCTTTATCCCTCAGGAGCATTGTTGCGTCATTGCAAGACAGCTGGCTAAACGCTGCTAGTGTCTTCTCACTGTTTTGTTCTACGATTATCATTTTTCGTGTTGTAGTCTCTTTGGAAGCGTTGGTTCAACCTATTCGGAATAGATAAGGCAATTGGCCTTAGAAACAACAACCAGGCAGAAGAGACAACCACAATTTAAGAATACGAAGTAGCTGAGAAGAATATAATGCGTGTAGAAAGAGAAATATACCTATATTAGAAATAGACACATCATAAATAACTATACAACAACGCATATCAGCTGATCGGCAGCTGAGAATCGGAAGTAAAGAAAACAAAGGTAACCAAGTTAAATTGTTGGGTCATTAAAATGCGACTCATAGTACTTGCGTAAAAAACCCTGTAGTTATTAGGCTTGACTCTGTTCCACAGCTAAATGAAAACTGAGAACTAAAGGGATGTTCATTGAGGAATAAAAGTATAATTGAGATTGCTCTTTATCTTGAACATCTGTA